ATCCGCCTCGCCCTGGCGTCCGCTCGGGGAAGACAACACAGGCGCAGGGATCGGAGCCGCCGTCGGAGCGGGACGCACCTGCCCGGGGCACCGCGGCGGCACTGAGAGAGCAGCATCCGTTTCGTGCACTTCAGTGTCTTTGCTGTAGCCTTGTAACTGTATAAAAGAGCAACTTTGATTTACTGCTGACCGACAAATGCACTTTACAAACTGCCGCACAGATAAGGATCCTCAGCATGTTTGCTGAAATAACATCTGGGCCACAGCTTAACTTCCAAGCTGCAATTTCTTGGAGGCACAGATAAGTTCATTTAAATTATTACAAGAAGTTTCTAGCCTACTTACCATTTCCTGCCACTTCTCAGCCCTTCACATCTGCGACAGGCAGCTGGCGCAGACGCCAGGCTGAGTTACCGAGAAGACCTGCCCTTGCCTGCTGTCTATCCTGCTTTCCTGCATCCCCCTGCACACACACACACGCGTGCACACACACAGACACACACACACACTGGGGACCAGCATCCAGGGTCGCAGCTGAGCCTCTGCCCGTTGCTTGGTGCTGGTGGGAACGCCGTGGTGCCCATGGCACCGGCTCTCCACGGACCAGCCTCAGAGCATGCTGAGCGTGTCCTCCTGCAGGAGGGTCCCCAGGGACCAGCCCCAGAGCAGGCTGAGCACGTCCTCCTGCAGCGCTGGGTCCCCACAGACCAGCCCTGGAGTGTGCTGAGCATGTCCTCCCACAGCGCTGACCTCCCGCAGGAGGGTCCCGGACCAGCCCTGCAGTGGGCTGAGCATCCTCCCGCAGGAGGGTCCCGGACCAGCCCTGCAGTGGGCTGAGCATCCTCCCGCAGGAGGGTCCCGGACCAGCCCTGCAGTGGGCTGAGCATCCTCCCGCAGGAGGGTCCCGGACCAGCCCTGCAGTGGGCTGAGCATCCTCCCGCAGGAGGGTCCCGGACCAGCCCTGCAGTGGGCTGAGCATCCTCCCGCAGGAGGGTCCCGGACCAGCCCTGCAGTGGGCTGAGCATCCTCCCGCAGGAGGGTCCCGGACCAGCCCTGCAGTGGGCTGAGCATCCTCCCGCAGGAGGGTCCCGGACCAGCCCTGCAGTGGGCTGAGCATCCTCCCGCCGGAGGGTCCCGGACCAGCCCTGCAGTGGGCTGAGCATCCTCCCGCCGGAGGGTCCCGGACCAGCCCTGCAGTGGGCTGAGCATCCTCCCGCCGGAGGGTCCCGGACCAGCCCTGCAGTGGGCTGAGCATCCTCCCGCCGGAGGGTCCCGGACCAGCCCTGCAGTGGGCTGAGCATCCTCCCGCAGGAGGGTCCCAGACCAGCCCTGCAGTGGGCTGAGCATCCTCCCGCCGGAGGGTCCCGGACCAGCCCTGCAGTGGGCTGAGCATCCTCCCGCCGGAGGGTCCCGGACCAGCCCTGCAGTGGGCTGAGCATCCTCCCGCCGGAGGGTCCCGGACCAGCCCTGCAGTGGGCTGAGCATCCTCCCGCCGGAGGGTCCCGGACCAGCCCTGCAGTGGGCTGAGCATCCTCCCGCCGGAGGGTCCCGGACCAGCCCTGCAGTGGGCTGAGCATCCTCCCGCAGGAGGGTCCCAGACCAGCCCTGCAGTGGGCTGAGCATCCTCCCGCAGGAGGGTCCCGGACCAGCCCTGCAGTGGGCTGAGCACGTCCTCCCCAGGGCCAGTCTCAGGGTGGGGGCAACTGCCAGCCCTGCCGGGGGACCAGGGCCACCGGTTGGGAACCCTGCAGGAGACAGATGCTCTGGGAGCTGATGGCCTCCTACTTAGCATTTGGGGGAAAAAGACTCTGTTTTTGTGTTGTTTTTTTTTTCTCCTTCCTCTGAAGCAGAACTAAAGCATTTCTCATTTAAACGCCTGCCTGTTTGCTTTGGCTTTCTCTTCGCTGTGCTCTAGGGCTCAGCTCTCTCCTGTGCCAAAGTGGTGCAACTGTGCCATGAAAGGAAAAAGCCAAGGATAAGTCAGGCACGGCCAGGTGATGTATTGGAGCTCTGTTACACACTGCAAGATGTGAATGCGAGAAGCGAGTGGGGACAGCACAGACACGTCTGCAGCGGGGAGATCCTCAAAGTCTGAACGTGCTTATGGGACAGCCTGGAGAAGGGACGGGCTGTGGAGCATCTCTGGTCTCTGCTCTTTTTACTCATCCATCCACCAGCCTCATCAGTCTGGTCCATGTGCTACTGATGTACAGCCAGAAAGAAATTAAAGGCATTAAAAAAAAAAAAATCCTGGCTATGCCCAGTGGTGCTTATGGATTTGTTTTGATGGATGCAGCCTTTCTTCACCTCCTGCGGCTGCTGAGATCCTGCTCGCCATGGCAGCCCTCCAAGACACTCAGCGCTGCTCTCAATATTTGCTCGGGACAGTTCAGAGCTCGGTTCATGAAACGGTGCTGGAAGGGAGCAGCGGTCCTCAAGGGGCCAGAGCAGCACCCCCTGCCTCTGTCTGTGTGATTCCCTTGGCCGTTTGCTCCAAAGCATGCAGCAAACCTTGGTGCAAGAACACGCCTGATGATGCCCGAATATGCCCCTGCGGTGTTGACAGTTGTCATCCTTGATATTACAAACGGGGAAACTGAAGCAGAGAGCGTGACTCGCCCAACGCGACGGGGAAGGGCTAGATGCAGCATCTCCTGCGGCCTTTTCCTTTCAGCTTAAGG